TTCTCACCACCTGTGACTGATATCTTGCTCTTCGACCATATGATTAAGTTCTATAGAACACTACCATTGGAATAGATCTACAAGCTCCAGATTGGAATAAATCAGCTTAGAATTAATCTTTTTATATTGTGTAATGAAGTCTGCCATCACCAATTTGGGTTAGAGTTTTGTAGGCTTATTACTAGAGTTAAACCAGAAGTCTTTTCTTATGCAACATTCCTTGTTTTGACCTGTTTTCAGCCCACGATCGTCGGGAAGACCAGAGGTTCCATCTTCATGCAACTTAGCTAAATTTGGAAGTAGATTTGTCAGCTAATTGAATACGACATAAATTGGAAGCCGGTCAACCAATCATGAAGGTGATAAATTTTTTGTAATCAGGTGGGGTTGAACCCTAGACCTTCTCCTGATAATTTATGGAGCATTATCTCTGTGCTATGGACCCATAGGTCTTTATAAGAACATTTTATCTTTTATGCTTAAATACCTGTTTTTAATATTTAATTTTTAAATATAACTTTATAAAAAGTCTTATCTTAATAGTAAAAAAAAAAAACCACAAATAATTATAAATCTATGATCTATATCAATTGTTATATGATTTATTAATATTATTAACATTATTGATTTTTTTTTTCTATAATTAAACAAGTATTTATTGTGTTTATTTAATTATTAAAATTGAAAATATAATAATATAATATTTTTGTATATAAACCAAACTAATACTTAAATACTTATTATTTATTTACAATCTTTAAATATAATTTTAAAGATAAATAAAATTGATTTATTTTTATTTTTTAAAAAATTTAAGTTTATTATCTATTATAATTTTTTTTAATAAAATTTTAATTATTTTATATTTATTATTTAATACCTTTTTTAATTTTATTTTATAGAGCTCTTGTAAGAATATTTATAAAAATATTATTATTAATTATAAAACTTGATTATATTATAATAGTATTGTTTTAATTTTTTTTATTTGTATATTATTAAAACTTGTTATTTTTCTTTTTTTTATTCTTTAACTATATTAATACTTTTTTATTTTTAATTTTTTTTTTTTTATTCTAACATTTTAAGAAATTTTATTTAAGAAAAGTAATAAATACTGTATATACAAGAAATAAAAAACTTTATGCACTGCATAGAATAAATAAAAAATTCTTTTTGTTTGATTCACGAAATGGCTTGCATAAAATTCTGAAATTAAATACACTCGATTTTGATTATCTTGAAGTGTAGAATAACACGACGTGTTCTAAATCTAGAATATTTTAACTATCATCAATCGCAATTTACAGAAATTCCATTCTCGTCACCGGAAAAATAATTACCAAATAACACTATACGTTGAAAATTTAATTTAATTTTTTCTAACGGAGCCTACATGCGTAGCATTTACACACGTTGCGAAATCAAGACTACTCTCGGTTTCAGACCGTGATGACTCCAATGGAGAGATATTGACTAACATGAGGACTTTGGCTTTCCCACCTAACAAAGTATGAGAGTATATTTAGTCATGCAAAAGAACCGAATTCACAAATTTTGTTGCATTAAACCTACCAAGAGAATTCTTCAGAAGCCAAGTTAATGGAGAATCGCGAAAGTTCACATGATTCGAATCTTTTCTAAGTTTTTCAATCACGGTTTTAAGGTGACTCAGACTCGAGTTAATGTACTTAGCTTCTTGTAGTTGATCACCCTTAGACTCTGACTTGGAGAGTCGCTCTGAACCTGCAAGGTCAATTAGATTCAATGAACCCACTCGTTGTTCTTTGAGGTTTTCATTAATTCCAGTCAACCGAATCATAAAGACGCTGTGACTGCGCGAAGATCGCGCATTACATTTCGTCGCAGCAACGGCACGATTCTGGGCGGAAATTTTTAATGCTCGGTTGAGGGTATCGGGGGAATCGAGGTTCACTAACACAAAGTTTTTATCGAACAATATTCGATTAGTGACTGCATTATAAGTAGGATGGAATTCAAGGAATTTTACGTTTCTTAGAAACACTTGCCAGTTTTAGCATTCAAAATTTTTGTTGTTCCAGTATTCTCGTCGTGTTCCGGTTTATATTTTATGCCATTGGAATGGGAAGGATTAGTGGAAAGCAAATCTCGTATGGTATCATTGTATATCTCAATAAATTGACCCTCCATTTTAAACACCCAGCATTGTGCTTTGAGATTCTGTATGAGATCGTAGATCAGGCGAACTGCACGTGGAATCATTCCTTCGGTTTCAGGCGTTGGATTATTAGGACCTGCCATTGTATAGGTTTTACCCGCGCCAGTTTGACCATATGCAAAAATACATCCATTATAACCATCTACGACCGATTGAACTATATGCGCAACTTCATTGAAAATGTCTTTCTGCGTTGTTTCAGGACCAAACACCTGATCAAACTCATAATCTTTCAACCTTTCTTTTTTTCTTCCTAGATAGTTAGTTGTTGTTGAAGTGAGGGAAATTTTTCTATTAACTGGTGATTCTTTAGGGTACTTTAAATCTGCGAGATCATCACTTTCTGATTCAAGAGGTGGTCGAACTCGACAAAAAACACGGATGTTTCCTTTAAGATCTTGAACAAGGTTGTGTAGATCCCGCCGAAGATACTCGTGTTCCTGTAGTTTGGTTGTTAGTTCTTGACTAAAGTTTAAATTGTATTCCATCTTTTCATCTTGCTCCTGAATGGAGTTTTGGGCTGTTTCAAATTCTTTTTTGTAAATTTCAACTTGGGAAGTCAATTCGAATTTTTCATCGGATAAAACTTCGCATTTTTTTCTCAAATCAGAAATCTTGCCTTCGACCTCTCTCTTACGAGCCTGTGCATTATCTACTCGCACTCCTATCTTAGCAATTTCTGCAATGTATTCATCTTTCGAACGTTTCATCTCTTGGACCTCATTTCTAGACTGTATATTTAGGGTGGTTACTTCATCTCTTTCTTTTTTCAACTGTTGAATCTCATCTCTAAGTATAGCATTTTTCTCTTGCAAGATTTCAGCTTGTGAAGGGGGTTGTGGTGGCGGTGGTGGATATTGAATTCGACTGCGGACGTTTATGCTTTTTTTTGTGCCGCCTGTTGGTGCTCTTTGAGTCGTGCGACCCGAATCAAAAGGAATTGAACGCACGTTTCTCCCATTTTCCTTGGTAGTATCGTTATTTTTCCTTTTCAAAGAGGATGTGCTGGTCTTATTTTTAGTTCCAATGCATTTTCCCCCGGGAGGCTCTCGAGTCACACTAATGGAGGTAGAAGAAACAGGTCTTTTAACTGAAGGTGCCTGAGCATTTTTTATTTTACGCGGAGAATTGAGAACAGCCTGGATGCGACTTGTGGGAAGTTTAGATGCTTTGCGATTATTCAAAGACATTTTGACTTTATTTGCTCTGTTTCAACAAGGTAGGCATAAATATTATGATTAATTCGGAGCTAGAAGTTATCATTACTAGATATGAACTTCGTGATTGTTTACAAGTTATGTCAGGTATGACATCACACGAATTGTCCAATGATTTTCAGCAGATCCCTGAATTTCTAAATTCTATTTGGTAATCAGGAAATTGAAAGCACAGACAGCTAAGTAAATAAGTTCCTGATGATTTATGCAACACGGTAATCGAGGAACAGCATATGTGGATTCTTTATTTTACTTAGCCTATTAATTTGATATTCATTCTTTCGACGTTTTCTTGCTCGGCGTTGAAAAAGCTTTTCATTCTGAAGTTTCTTGCAAGAGGCGCCTGGAGTGATGGAACAAATTTCCGAATAAATATTCGTTTTTGTGGAACAGAGAAAGTACCTAAAGATCAGATCCTCAGGTAGCATCATGTAAAGAGTATCTGGTTCATTTGAGGTTCGTTTCGAATAATTTGCTTGTCCAGGATGGCTTCTACTTAAAACTCAATGGCATTCTATGTCTATATTGCATTATCACAAAATTTGTTGGATAGATAATATTGCCCTGTTTGCTAAGTCCCAAAACCAAAACAGGAAGAGATTTTGTGATACATCAAATACATCACGTGAAATTACTTGCACGTGGAATTCAATCTCACAGTAGTACATATGTATGTTACTTTAATTTTCACGCTAGTACCTTATATCATCGTTCCGCGTTTTTCTTTTTCTTTATCACGGACTACTATTTACGAAATGCGATTATCAAAACCTAGTTGGCTTGCTCACTTAGGTTTGTAATACACTTAATACATCTGTTCTTTGAATAGTCTTCTCGTTTTTCATTCGCTTGAATACTCTTTTAGACGATAAGAACCAGAAAACTTCCATTTTCTCGATCCACGTTCACCCTGACGGTACTCGCTTGGCAACTGGAGGACTTGGTACGTGGTTACTTTTTTAGATATCTTAAAACATTCTTGGCTGACTGGTTCACGCGTTTGATGTTTGACATGTATTTTTCTCGAATTCCTGAACGATTTAATCGTCACTGCATCTAATCTCACCTGTGTGCATTCAATTAGACAATAAAATAAAATTATGGAGTACCAAAAGTATAATGAATACAACGAATCCAGACGATTCGACATTGCCGCGTTTGCTATGCACTCTGGGTCAACATAATGGTTTGTATTAGGAGCCCTTAGAGTCGCGTCCCAATGATCAAATATTCAGTATGTAAAATATTATAGGATCAGTTCTTTGCGTTCGATGGTCAAATAAAACTGGACAATATCTAGCTTCTGGTTCTGACGATCAACTTGTGTTGATATGGGAATGGGACAGGTGAGTAATAATCCTAATGACTTTATTGTTGTAATAGGATCATTTGATTTCCTTGATAACAATGTTTGCTCTCCGTGATTTAGATCTACTGAAGGGTGGGCAGGTGGAAGTGTTTTTGGAAGTGGTGAACAGAATATCGAGAATTGGAAGCCTAGAAAACGACTTTCTGGACATCAATCGGGTAAATTATTTGTTTCCTGACTTTAGCATGAGGAATCAACATTTTATTAATCGAGTGTACATGTTGGTTGGTTCTATAGATGTTGTTGATCTTGGTTGGTCGAGAGATAATACTTATTTGGCTTCGTGTGGCCTAGACAGCTTAGTTTTTATATGGGACGGCAAAACATTTGGTAAAGTAATGTTTGAGAATTTAAAGATTTTATGTTACTTTTAATGAACTTTTATTTTCACATTAGAAAAGCTGCATAAATTGGATCAGCACCAAGGTTTCGTTAAAGGGGTTACATGGGATCCTGTAGGAGAATACCTTGCGACTGAGGTAAATTGACAAGCCCTTAACATTTGAATCACGTGTCGTAGATGATTCTGAACTAACCACAATAATTTCGTAGTCAGATGATAAAACAGTGAAAATTTGGAGCACTATTGATTGGACTGTACAGGCTGAAATTAGTGAACCCTATGCAAGTTCTCCAACAACAACTTTTTACCGTCGACTTAGGTATTACAACCATCCTCTGTGCAATAAATTTAGGTACTTTCCAGCTTAGTTATAATTCCTTCTTTGATTGACTAGCTGGTCTCCCGACGGATCTCATGTTGCGACAGCAAATGGTGCGCAAGGTCCGATACCTATTGCTGCTATATTTAGTCGTGGTAAATGGCGCACAGATGTATCCTTAGTAGGACACGAATCTGCAATTGAAGTTGTGGTGAGTAGTTAAATAACTTATAGTTTACGCAATGTTCAATTTGTAATCAAACAGATTATATGGAACGTTAATTTTTACGTGTAAAAATTCCTATCTGAACATCGAGTTCCTACATTTTACATTTTTTTTTTACTTATTCTGCTTCTTTTTTTGGGGGTTGCGAAAGGCCTTCAACCCAGCTTTGTTTATGATTCCCGAGAGTGATGACGCTGATCCTGCTTCCGCAATATTAGGCAGCGTTTGTGCAGTTGGAAGCCAAGATCATACCATTTCGGTATGGGTAACCAGAAACGCTAGACCACTTTTTGTTTGCCAAAAGCCCTTTAATCATACCGTTTTGGATTTGGCCTGGTCGGTGATCTCTATATATAAAATTTTTTTCTTTTACATTTCTAAATATCATTATTCATTACAGGTCACCGGATGGAACGCACCTTTATGCGTGTTCCTATGATGGCACCGTAGTGGTTCTACAGTTCAATGATACCGAATTCGGCGAGAGAGTTTCTAACGAGGAACTTGTTAGTGTTGCACAAAAGAAGTTTTGTTTTAAGTTTTACATTATCTTTCAATAAACACGTTATCCACTCTTTTAAAGGAGAAACTCATAAGTAAATACGGGTTCAAAGCGAAAGAACCAATCATACTTGAAAATACGACTCAACTCGATTTGGAAAATGAACACGCGATAGCAAAAAGAAATGAAAAATCAGATCGTATGTCCGGCATGGTACCTATGGAAACTTCAACCGTTGGGATTTCAAACACATCAGAAATAACTAAAAATTCAGCAATTGAACCTATGATAACGAATTTTGATTCTCCAGAGAACACATCAAATGATGGCCCCATTCCAATGAACATTGTTGATTCTTCAACAACAGCATCCAGCAGTGTCCCTACCAACGCTGGAGACATTCAGCCAAAAGTTTCGTTCACTAGAGAAGGAAAAAAAAGAATTCAGCCACAGTTTTTGGGAGGGTGAATATTACTTAGCTTTTTTTTAATACACTTTTGAATGATAATTGTTATAAATAAATTAATTCGACATTGTTTCTATAGACTTAATTCCGTTTCTCAACCAAATGTTACGACGGTAAGACGTTGATCTTTTATAAATCAACGTAATAGCGCGCTTATTTTAGTAATTTACATGTTATAGACTTCATCTATAAGTGGTGGTGCTTCATCAAATGCCTCTAGTATGGGTCGTTCCACTCAACAAACAACATCAGGTGAAGGAACAAGTGGTGAGATGGAGCCACCATCTCGTGCTCTTCCACCGGGGGGAATTCCCGCCCTGATCGTTGGAAATAAGCGTAAAGACTCGGGCACTTCGGATATTACGTCATCAAACAAACGAACAAACATTTCTGGAAAACCACTTTCAGAGATAGAATCGCATGTGTTAAGGCCTCCAATGGTTTCTCCATCCGTCGTAATGTCACAAGTTCGATTAGCGTCTCATAAGGTTCGAGATTATTTAGCCAAAGATCAGCTGGACGGAGCCACACTGAAACTAGAATGTTTCAATAATAATAACAATGGTAAACTTATGACACTTCCTGTTCTTAGTAAATTAATATATTACTTATGCTTACCTTTAAAATTTGGAAATATAGCCCTTTCCCATTTGGTATGTACTCGGGGAAAAATTCGTGTATGGTTCGACTTTGTACCAAGTGCAATTATTCTCATGACGGGTAATGCACACTACTCTGCCGTTGCTTGCGAGGATGGAGGAATTTATACCTATTCTAACTCTGGAAATAGGTAAGGACTATTATTTTTATGCGTGCATGTATTTCGTTTAAAATAACATAATAATAATGACACATACTCGTGTTATCTCGATAGATTACTTCCAAATATTAGACTCGAATCTACGGCATCGTTTTTAGAAATTTGCCGTGATTATCTGTTATGTTTAACTCAGGTTGGACTATTGACCGTTTGGTGAGTTTACTCAAGATTAAACATTATAGTCTTGTCTCATAATTGATTTAAATTAAAATTGTTATTAGGGATTTACGAAATCGAGAAGCTAAAGTCGATTCGGTTTCAATAGCACCCATACTGTCATCTGCATCGTTATCATCTGACAATCTTCAATCAACTGTATCAATTGTGACAGCTTGTGTCCGCTCCAATGGCACTCCGTTACTGGTAACGAGTAGATATGACGCATGGTGTTATCACACGGGTATGCGCTGTTGGATCTGTGTGCATGACCCCAGGTATACACTACCAAACCCTTCAGCACAGGAATCTAGTGGTGACGTAACCGGGAACTGCCTATTAGAAACTTTAGACAATTATTCCAGGCAACGTGGTACGAACGTAGGTTCGCTTTCTCACTTAAGGCGACCTCCGGGGCCCGAAACCTCTGGACAACAAATTAATCTGTTGGGTTTCCTTCAGAATCAACTTCTTGTTGCTGAATTGATTAATTCTCCGGCGGAGTACAAACAGTTGCTTTTTCAATATGCTCAACAACTGGCCGATGAAGGTTCTGAACTAAAAGTACACGAATTATGCAATCAATTACTCGGACCTACACACACGTATGTATCAGGTGTATGCATGCATCTATTTGCCTTATTACTTAAGTATTAAAAAACCAACTGATTTTTTTTACAGTTCCGAGAGTATAAATGGTATTCAACGTCAGACCAATTGGGATCCTTTGTTATTGGTAAGCTGCTTTATTATTATTATATTAAAACACTGAAATTTTAGAATTAACATAATATTTCAATTAATTATCTACAGGGCATGTCAAAACGGCAACTTCTCGGGGATGTTTTAAAGATACTATGTAGGTTTAGAATAAATTTCTATTTTAATTTGTTAATTCATTGATGATTGATCTTTCGTCTTTTTTGCAGCATCCAATAGGGACTTGCAACGACACGTGACAGAATATAAGTCGGAGCTAAATAAAATACTCAATTTAGATTAACATGAATAATTAGAATGAGATCGTTGAGCATAGATTCATAGTTTTACTTGATATGAATACAAAAATATTCCTGGATATTTAACCTTTGAGTTCGTACATTTTTTGAAACATTAAAATAATAATACTAATAATAAATTCTGTAAGAATACAAGGAATCATTTAATTTTGTTAGCATGTTTGTGATTATAGATTAGGAATATAGGATCGTATAGCAAAGATTTTTTACCAAAAATAAAAAGACATGAAGGTGTTCTCCGTGCAGCGTACGTGCAGCTGCATTTGCATTGTTTTCGAGTGAAATTTCCGGGTCACAAGAACTCCTGCATAAATGTAAAAAAAAAAACTTAATTGATTACGTGACTATATTATAGATCGTCCATGTAGTGAAAAATTCGCTGGTCAAACTTAAAGTCTCGTGGTACTAGCATTGTTTCAATATTGGTCAGCATATTCTGCTATATCATCAAAAATCAAAAATTTTCACTCAAAAAAATTTTTATCAAAAAACCATAATCAGTTTACTCCTGTTAATTAATTGACATTTCAAATCCAATTAATCAAATATTATCAAATTTCAAAGCAATTCTGTATAATTAAAAATACAATATAATGATTAATGTAAATAAATTCTATTTTGACAATATCAATTAAAACAAAATCACATCACCAAAAAATAAACTAATCAATATATTAACAAAAATATTAACAATCACAATAACAACATATAATTTAAGTAATATATCAACAATACTATTATTTACTTTGGACAGTAGCCTGGCCATTCCTGGAAGCAACATCCTACTTCAGTTGAATAAATTAACCAGCATGGTGCATCTAATCCAAGACATTCTTTATATAATAATTAATCTTTTTTTTACTTTTCTTTTGATTATTATCAAATACTTAAATATAAACAACTATATCATCACTACTATTAACAATAACTCAAGAAATAGTTGTCAAGAGGACATATTATCAATACTATTATATATTATAAGCTGTAGCCTGATCATTATGAAAAGTGCAATAGTATTTCAGGGGGTGGAACCACCAGAGTAACATTAGGCTTCATTTGTACTATAATTAGTTTTTTTGTCATTTTTCTTTTATCTGCATTTTCTTTTTTAACTTTTATATTTTTTTAAATTTTATTTTATATAACTCTGAGTAGGTATTTATAGCTACTCGGCACTATCTTAGATATATATTGGTTTTAATATTTATTTTCCATATCACTTAGATAGTTTCTATAGGCAAGCTAGTATTATACTTATTAGTTTAGTAAGTTATATAAAAGATGTTGTTGCTTTCTTTATATATAAATTTTAAACAATTTTATGATTAATAAAGTGATAATGTTTATCTACTTTAAAAAAAAACATATTTTTATAATTAAAATACTTTATTTATTTGTTTATTTTTTATTTTTTTTTATTTTTTTTTTTACTGCGAATAAGTATAAAATGCAAGACTTTATTTATTAATTGATAGTACTGTCATTATATTAAACATCCATTTAAGTTAATGTTAACCTATTGCATGTATAACTTTTAATACTACATTACACTAAGTAAGTGGTGCCATATTAAAAGTGGTTCATGAATGGTTTATGCCTATCCATAAACAGCTAAATTAGGGTGGATGTGAATATTTTTTTTAGTAATATGGAAGATTTTCAGAAATTTAGTCTTGATTTGGTAAGTTTTTGTTAAATCTTTGTGTGATGTTATTGTTGTTATCATTCCTAATAGGTTAATACCGGTTTGGTTCTTGTTGGATTGAAGTATCAGAATTGAATTGACCGTTGAGATTGTGTAGATCGTTTGGAGGGTTGAGCTGACTTTGGTTTTTGATTTTGAGAAAATTTTTGAAGTCATTGAGGTAGTGCAGTAAAGCATACCGTATTGTTGTTTGAAAGGGTTTGGTTGAGACAAGTAGAAGGACCCAAAACTTTACTTGAATGTACTTTTAGGAAAAAATTGGCGATGTTGAGGATGGTGAGGAGAATGATTATCATGGAAGTAATAAAGGAGGAGATACATAAAGACAAAGTTAAGAAAGAGGACTGCCACAGGCTTTTCCCCATACAACCAAAGAACAAACAAAACTCCCAAACTTGTTTGGTCTTTAACCAGAGGTCCCATTCTGATGCAACAGTGGTCTTTAAAGTCCTTATGTCCTTGAGCTTATAGCATAATTGGCATATTGAAGAGAGAGAGGAAAGTGCTTTTTTCAAGAAAATTACCATATAAGAAAATTTTCAAGAAATCAGTGGTGAACGGGTAAAAGTTTTTTTCCTTATTTATTTATTTTTTAATTGGCTAAGAATATTAAATGTAAGATTTTATTTGATAATTTATTATCATTATCATTATATCAAATATTTTTATAAAGTAGACTATTGCTATTTCAAATATAAATTAATGTTTTCTAATAATATCGTTTTCAATACTACTGAGTTTTTCTTTAAATCAAATCAATTACCTTGATTAACTAACTTATATTATGAAGATAGATTCACATTCAGGTGTGATTTATACAGGAGAAAGAAATTCTATCACTAGTTTAAATCTACTTTTCTATTGATCCAATTGTATTTTTTAGCTACTTACTAGGGAAAGATCATATTACTTTTCAGGAATTTTGTTAGAACATCCAAATATTTCATATATTTTTTTACCCAAAACCTCAGAGAAGATAAGTCACCTTTTGTTACCATCTGTGGCTTCTGATTATACGAAATATATATTCAAGATATAATCTTCTTTTAAGCAAGTATCAGATTGAAATAGCTTCAGGTTAAGGTATTCTTGTATGACAGAATTTGCTATTACCAGTTTAGATTAGAGTTTATAGGTTTATTACCAAAGTTAGACCAGAAGTCTTTCCTCATGCAACCTTTCTTGTTTTAATCTATTTTTAGTCTACAATTATCAAAAAGATCAGAAATTTCATCTTTATGCAATTTAACTAAATTTGGAAGTAGATTTTTAGTTGATTGAGTATAACATGAATTGAAAGACAGTCAATCAATTATAAAGATAATAAATTATTATAACCAGGTGAGTTTGAATTCTAGACCTTCTCTTTTTTTTTTTGCGAGGCACTTCTCAAATTGTGATCTTTATTAATTGTTGATTTAATTTTTACAGAGGAAAACTTAG